TTTCCCATCCCAGCCACAGAGAGCACATAGGAAGGGCTCCTCTGAGCTTCCTCACACCCTCCCCGCAGTCTGCAAGGCCTGGAGAGGTCACGTCCCCCTACAGGAAGCAGTCCCCGGCTCCCACCTGGCAGGAAGGCTGACACATCAGTGAGATTTTCAGATCTTCCTCAGCACACAGGGCTAGAGGAAAACTGCCACACCTGGCCCCAGAGTGGCTCCTGGTGACAGTGATGGTGGCGGAAGAATCCCTGGGCTGTCTGGAGCCTGGTTCTTAGTGCCTGGCCCTAGGGCTGCCCAAGCATCGAGGGTGACCCTGACGCACACCAAGTGTCAGAACCGCTGGGGAAGTTCTCAAGCCTGCCAGAATTACCCGGGAAGTGCTGCTCTGTAATGAGCTTAATTTGGAAAATATACCCTTTAAGATAAACTCTACTTTTTAAATAGTTTTAGAATTACAGAAAGATTGGAGAGCTGGCTGAGTTCCTGTGCCCCCACCGGGCCTCTGTTTGCATCTTACCATCTTAGCCTGGCACCGTGGCCAAGGAGCAGGAATAGCAAACTTGTCGGTAGGAGCCACCTGCACTTCCTAGAGCCTCCACTCTGGAGCTGAGGCTGTCCCAGAACCCCGTCCAGTGTGCTGGGTACCGTGCACGCAGGTGTCGCGTCCCCGTGAACTTCCTGGCTCTGACGTTCTCACACGGTTCTTCTTGATGGCCTGAGGGGCTTGAGGAGGGCTGCCCAGGCATCCATCGGGTGTCCCTCCACTGGGGTTTGTGTGATGGTTTTCTGGCCTGGTGTCCCTCTCGGTGTTGCGGGGGTGGTTTTGTTGTTTGAGTCTTGCTTCTGCTCTGGCACTGTGTCTTGGGTGCTTCCTGCTCTGGCCCTGGAGCCAGCCACTTTGCCAGGGTGCCCTGGGGGGGGAGCCCAGCTTGGAGGCCCACTTGTGCCGTCGAGGTTGGGATGTCACTGGTTCTGGGCCCTCCACTGAGAGTGAGGGGGTGCAGTGTGGCCATACGCTCACGTACAGGTGGTTGTGTGCACGACCTCCCTTCCTGAGTTACTCTAGTTTGCTCGCGACATCTGCCACTCTCACCCAGTGCCCTGTGGATCATTCTGGCCTCCTGCTTTGCTTCTTTGTGAACTCCACCCTGGTGAAGACCTTGTTCCCCCATCTGCAGTTCATTAGCTGAACTGTCCGGTCGTCGTCTACCTGGACCAGTAGGATGGGAATCGTGAACCCTGGCCTCTGGCAGCGGCCGTATGGGTTGGAGTACGGGGCTCATCTGGAGGCTCATTTCCCCTTCGTCTTGTGGGCTCCACTCATTCCTCAGGCCGCCAGTGTCAGCACCTTGCTCCCCAGCCTCCAGCGAGGTGGTTTCACACATACACAGCACAGCTGGGTTCTCTGCCACGTTCTGCGTTCTCTGCAGGATCCCGCAGCCTCCTAAGTGACATTGCAAATGTGTATGCTTGAAGTTTGCGCTCGGGCTACAAAGTTTTTGGTTTTTGGCAAACACCTTCTGTCTGGTGGTCTCCATTTCAGTGTCATCCAGAATTTTTTCCCTGCTCTAAAAATCCCCTCTGCTTTACCCACTCAACCCTCCCCTTGTTCTGAACCGCTAGCAACCACTGATCTTTTTGCAGATTTACAGTTTCATCATTCCTAGAACACCATTCAGTTGGAGTTTCAGACTGACTTCTTTTACCTGGATGTACATTGAAAATTCACTCATCATATTGTGGCTTGCTGGCCGATTTCTTTTTGTCACGGAGTGCTTTTCCATTATATTTGCATATTCTCTCCCCTATTAAAGGACATATTGGTTACTTGCAGTCTGGGGTGGTTGTGAATAAAGCTGCATTTTTTTGGTTGGTTTTGTTACTGTTTCGTGGCTGTAAGATTCCCAAACATCTGGGCCCATGAATATCTACAAGTGGTGATTGCTGTGTCCTGTGCTGAGGCTGCGTTCAGCCTTTCAAGAGAAGACCCAACCTCTTAACATAGGGCTCTCCCATTTCGTGTTCCCGTCGGCAGTGAGGTGACTCCCTGTGGCTCTCTGTCCCCATTCGCACTTGGTACTGTTAGTCTTTTGGATGCTGGCTAACCTGGGGTACATGTAGGGGTCTCCCAGCTGACCTGGTGTACACATGGGGGGTCTCCCAGCTGACCTGCTGTAGGCGTGGGGGGTCTCCTGGCTGACCTGGTGTATGTGTGTGGGGGGGTCTCCCGGCTGACCTGGTGTACGCATAGGGGGGTCTCCCGGCTGACCTGGGGTACACATAGGGGGTCTCCCGGCTGACCTGGGGTATGCGCAGGTCCTCTGGCTGACATTTCTTTGCCTTAATTCCCTCATGACTGGATGGTGCCTGCTGCGCGGCCTGCCTGCCACCTGCCTGGCTCCTCTGGCGGCGCCGCAGACCTTTTGCCCATTGGTCAGTGGGTTGTTAGTTTTCTTACTGTTGCTTTTTAAGAGTCCTTTGACATTTTTGGATACAAAAATGTGTCAGGTCCATATTTGCAAAATAATTCCACTCAGTAACAGACTTTAGCAATGATCTTCCAGGAACTGGCATTTTTAATTTTAACGCTCAACTTATGAATTTCTTATTTCATGGAACTTGTGTTTGTTCCTGTATCTAAAAACTCACTGCCAAACCCAAAGTTGCTTGGGTTTCATCCTTTTACCTTCTCAGAGTTTACAGTTTTTCATTACACTTATGTCTGGGGTCCAGGTTGAGAAAGGCGTCAAGTCCTGTTAAGGTCATTTTCTTCTTTTGCAAACGCACACCCATCAGTTTTAGTACCATTTGTTGGAAAAGTCTGTCCTTTCTGCACTAAAGCGTCTTCGCTCCTGCATCAGGATCGCCCCCCTGCCTTGGCCTGGGCCTGTTTCTAGGGTCTCTGTCCTGGTGGGTTGGTCCCCACTCCATCCTCTCTCCTGTGCTGCACTGTGGCTTTGTGTTAACTCTCCACAGTGGGTTGTGAGAATCCTCCAGCTTCGTTCTAACTCTTCAGTATTGTCTTGGTTATTCCAGATCTTCTCCCTTCCTAAATATCATTTAGGACTAGTTTGACAATACGTATAGAGTAGCTTATGGGATTTTGACTGGGATTGCATTGAACCTATAGATCAAGTGGGGCAGAACTGACATCTTAAAATTTGGGGTACTCACATTCATGGACACAGAATATCCCTGGATTTATTTAGATCTTCTTTGATTTTTCTTTTTAGAGTTTTGTAGTTTTCCACCTATAGTTCTTGTACATATTTTATTACATTTGTACCTAAATATTTCATATTCTGGGTGCTGTTGTAAATAACACTGTTTTTTAAATGTCAAGTTCCAGTTGTTCTTTGCTAGCATGTGGAAAAGTAACGACTTGCACATTAACCTTCTATGTCAGGACCCTTCTGAATTTGCCTGTTGGTTCCAGGAATGGTGGTGATTGGGGTTCCCCCCCTTTTATTCTTTGGTACTTTCTACATAAACAGTCTTGCCATTTGCAAATGAAAGTCATTTCGTTTCTGCCTTCTTGATCCTATAATGTTTCACTTCCTTTTTTTGGTCCTGTGCACTAGCCAGGACTTCCAAGGTGATGTTGAGAGAGGACATTCTCTCCTAGCTTCCCACCTTAAGGAGGAGGCCCATAGTTTCCCACAACTGGGTGTGGTGCCAGCAGGAGGAGTTTTATAAGCGGGGAAGCACCTTGTATTGGATTTGGTCAGATGTGTTTTTTTGCATCAGTCGATGCAATGATATAATTTTTCTTCTTTAGCCCTCTGATGTGGTAGACTGTGTAGGTTGATGTCCAACTGTTGATCCAGCTTGCGTACACCTTGCTAGCATTGGTTTGCTGATATTTTGTGGGACCCTTTCGCATCCGTGTTCATGAGACACATTGGTCCGTGGTCGTTTTCTCAGGACATCTTCATCTGGTTTTGGTAGTGGACTAGTGGCAGCCCCGGGGATGAGTTGGGAAGTGTTCCTTGGATTCTGTGTTCTGGAATGGACCATGGAGGATTGGTATGATTTCCTCCATAAATGTCTGAAGGACTCACTTGGGCTAGTGCACTCTCCTTTAGAAGATGACTGATGGCTTCAGTTTATTTAATAAAGTCCTGTTGAAACCATGTGCTTCCCCTCGTGTGTATGTTGGGAGTTTGTGTCTTTCGAGGAGTTGGTGCATCTCATCTAACCCGTGGAATGCATGGGTGGAAGTTCACGGTATTTCTCATGTTATCCTCTTAATTCCTTGGGATCAACAGTCACCTCTCTCTCTCTCTCCTTCTTCCCCTTGATTGGGAAGTGTTTTAAAAATACTCTTTGAGCCTCTTCCCATGTGGGCTTCGGGTGGAGGTTTGGGGTGGGCCTGGATTGCTCTCCCGGGATGCCCCAGAGCTCCTTGCAGCTCCTAGATAGCCTGGGGACTCTCACATCCACGTCCTGCCCTTTGCTGTTTGCTTTCAGACTTTCATCCAGGGCACTCTGGCTGTTTGTGAAGTGCACAGCCGCTGTGTTGATTCAGAAGAGGAGAGGGCAGACGTGAGGACCCTGCCTGCCTGGCCCTCCCCCTCCTCAGCTCAGGGCAGCCCCCGGGAAGCACTGGGGCCTCAAGACCCCATTCCTGGCTCTCTATCGAAGGGCATAAAGCTCAGGACATAGCTCAGGTTGGACCAAGTCCGGCAGCTTGTGTTGTTCCTGTTCTCACCTTTGTCAGAGGTGTCCATCCTTGGACAGGGCTACCTTCCCAGTGGCCAGTGGGTTCCCTGTTGCTCACTGGCCGGCGTGCTAAAGAGGGGCTCAGGACCATGCAGCTGGATCCTGCTCTGAATTTGGAGAGACAGCATTTAGCCCCAGTCTCTACTCCCAGAACAGAGCGTGCACAAGTGTCCCAGGTGCGGCTGGCCTCTCCACAGAAAACCCAGGTGCTCTCTGCTCGCACTCCTGGGGGATTGTGGTTGACGTCAGTTTCTCACTTTGTGCTTCTGATTTGGAAGGTTCTGCACTGACCAACGGGGGGCTGAGCCTGCACAGCCCCATGAAGAGGAAGCTGGAGACAGAAAAGGATTATGTCTTTGACAAGAGGCTCAGGTACAGTGTCCGGCAGAACGAGAGCAACTGTCGGTTTCGAGACATCGTGGTGCGGAAGGAGGAGGGCTTCACACACATCCTGTTATCCAGCCAGACCTCAGACAACAACGCGCTGACCCCGGAGGTAAGGGCCGTGGCTGGAGGGGTGGGCAGGCGGGGACGTCATTCCAGACCTCCTTTCCCATCCTCGCAGTACCCTGTGGGAACAGGGTGGGGGTTGCCACAGAGTGGGCCTTGGGGGACATGGCTGAGGGGTGGCCACTCACCAAGCTGGCATTGCTTGGTGGATTCAGTACCCTCAGGGAGCCCTGGAAGTGGAATGGGGTGTGGTGCTGTGTCCTCAACCCTGTGGTCACATGTCTTATCCTTATGATTTACAGAGACTGTGGTTCTTTTGTGGGACTGTGGGCCTAAGAGTCTGGGGTGATTGACAGACTGTGAGAGAGGAGCCAGCTGATGCTGTGGGCTGTGGGGCAACCCTTGGTAAAGGCTGGCTTCCCTTTTACTAGGCCTGGAGTTTGGGGGTCTCTCCTCCTCCACCTTTAGCAGAAGCATCCCCAGGTCCTCTCCCCTGTAGACCTCTGTGTGGGATCACAGGAGTCCAGAGGGCGGGCTTTACCCATTGGGGCTTTGCATTGTTCATACCCCCAAAACCCTGTTATTTTAAGCTCATCATGAAGCATCCGCATGAGACCAGTTCTTGGATTTTTTTACTACTTTTTAAAAGCATACTTTAAAAGACACAGCGTTTTCCTTCTAGAAATCGATAGAGCAGACACATGCCAGTTCCTTCCCTCTTCGGTGCCGCTTCGTGTTTTCCACTCACCCCTGAAATCGAAGACCACCTGTGCTTGACTGATCTGAGGTGCACGGGTCCTCACCTGCTGAGCCATGGGTGTGGTTAATCAGGAATTCCATTCCTCCTCAGCACTGGCCGTTTCAGATGGCAGGGAAGGGGCAAGAGCTGTCGATCCCATAATTTCCGGGCTCTCACCCGCAGTGGATGGCCTCTGGGTGAGCTGGCCAACTGGGTAAAGTTGCCAGAGGAGGTTCTGGAGTCTGATAGGCCTGAGTTTGAATCTACTCCACCAGCTTGCCACTGTGTTACCTTGGGAAGTTGTTCTGCCTCTCTGAACCTCCTCATTCATGGAAGTCCCCCAGGACCTTCCTTGTGAGCTTAGAGATGACGTGTGCAAAGAGGCTCCTGGTACATGGGGGTATCCAGCAAATGCTCCAGTTCTCGTTAAGATAAAACAGAGGCCACTGACTGGTCATCAGCAGGATCCACTTGCTCATTAGTAGAGAACCTGGAAGGAGACCACTGTCACCGTCACAGTTGAAATTCTTTTCCTAGCTGTATGTCTGATATCAGGTGAAATTCATGCATTACTGGACGTGTTAACAAGATTTTGAGGCAACCCATCTTTGAAATCTGGTCAGAACCTTCTGTGACCACACAACCTTGCATTCCGTGTGTGTGCAAAACCAGCACCACGTGGACCATGCCACCATCTGCTGCCGGTGGGAGAAGTAGCTGGGCTTACTGGCACCGCAGCCGAGCAGCCGCTGAGGGCCTTGATGGTCGAGCACAGTGAAGTGAGTCCTGGGGAAACAGCTTCCTAGGCAGCCTGTGGGAGCAGGGTGAGCCAGCGCAGTCTTTTCAAAGCAGTCCTTCCAAGGAATTTACACTTTTATGTCCTTGAGGTTGTAGGGTGGAATCTGGTCAGTTCTTAAGAAGCCACAAAAGCTTTTTTCCCGTTGTCCCAGTGTGAAGTTCTGGCTTCTTTCTTCAGCAACCACACTTTCTTGACCATATTTTAACTACTTCCTTCCTGGTTAAACTACAGCTCAAATTTTTCTGCTGTCCTTTGTTTTCCTAATTCTCACTGCATATGTGTGTTATGGTTCAAATATGAGATATCCCCCAGAAGCACCTGTCGACACAGGAACATTCAGAGGAAAAATGATTGGGTTATGAGAGCTGTCACCTAATCAATCCATCCCAGTCTGAATGGGCTGCAGTAGGTGATAACTGTAGGCAGGTGGGGCATGGCTGGAGGACATGGGTCACTGGGGGTGTGACCTGGAAGGGTGTGTTTTCCCTGTGGCCCCTTCCACCCCACCATGAGCTGAGCAGCTTTCCTTTATTGGTCCCTTCCCCCAAGATGTGCTGCCTCACCTTGGGCCAAGAACATTGGAAGTAGCCGTCTGTGGACCGAGACCTCTGAAACCACAAGCTCCAAATAAACTTTCCCTCCTCTGAGATATTCTTGTCAGGTATTTTGGTCACTGTGATAGAAAAGCTGACTAAAATCATCTGACTAAAAGCAGCCAACAAGACCCATGCCACAGTCTGAATGTTGTGCTGCTGTGAAATTTTCTCCACCAGATTGATTCATCCACCATATTTAAACTCAGCCTCCACACAAAGTCTCAGGGCATGGACAAAATATAGACAAGCACCTTACTGGAACTAACGTGTGTGGCCTCTTAGCAATTTCCAGTGGAGTCCTGATTTCCATCTGAAACCTCATCAGCATGATCTTTTTTGTCCATATTCCTGTGAGCATTCTGGTCTCCATTGCCTGATAAGCTCTGCTTACAACATTCTTAGCTTTTGTCTAGCCTGCTTCCCCAAACATTTCTAAGCTTATCTCCTAAACCAACTCCAAAGGCTTCTGAACCACATGGTCAGGTATGCTAACAACAGTGACCCCACTGCTTGGTACCAATTATCTGTGTCTCTCAGCTTTCTGTCACTGTGACAGAATACCTGAGAAAAACAACTTAAAAGAAGGAAGATTTTTTTTTTAGTGCTGAGTAATATTCCATTGTGTATAAATGCCACATGGCATTTGCAGGCAAATGGATGGCATTAGAGCAGATTAAGTGGCTAAGTGAAGTTAGCCAGTCCCTAAAAAACAAATACTGAATGTCTTCTTTGATATAAGGGGGGTGACTCAAAATGGGATAGGGAGGAAGAGTATGAGAAGAAGACTACCACTAAATAGGGAAGAGAGGTGGGAGGGAAAAAGAGGGAGAAGGGGAGTTGCCTGGAAGATGGAAGGAGAGCCTCATTGTTATACAGAAATCATGTATGATGTTGTGATGAGAAAAAGAAAAAAAATGTGTCACGTTGGATTGGATAGAGAGAAAGGATGGGAGAGGAGGGGAGGAGGAGGGAGGATAGGAAGGGCAGCAGAATAGAATAGACCTCATGATTGATGTATGTACATTCCATGTATGTACTATATGTCAAAATGCATTCTGCTGTCATGTACGACTAAATAAATAAATAAATAAATAAATAAATAAATAAATCACGTGAATCAAAAAAAAAAAGAAGAAGGAAGGTTTATTTGGGTTCTGTTTCAGAGGCTCTGCACTGTTTCTGCGTCTGTGGTGAGGCAGAGCGTCATGGCAGAAGGATGTGGTAGAGGAAAGATGTTTGTCTCGTGGCATCTAGAAACAGAGATAGAGAGCAAGAAAAGGTCCAGAGACAAAATATATCCTTCAAAGGCATGCCGGCAGTGACCCACCTCTTCCAACAAGGCCCCGCCTCCTGAAGTTTCTATCACATCCCAGTAGTGACACCGCCAGGGACCAAGCCTTTCACACGTGAGCCTTTGAGGGAGATTTCAGCTCCAAACTGTAACAGGGTAAAAACTGCACATTCTTTTAATTCAATAAGCACTTGTTAAATCCCATCATGTGAAGGGTTCTGAACTAAGGGCCGTGAGGTATATATAGACGAGTGAAGCACCATTATAGCTTTTATGGGATTGTGTCAGTTACCCTAAACTCCCCACCTGAAAACAGTGCATTTATTATCTCACATTTCTGTGGGTTGGGAATCTGGGTGTGGCTTAGCTGGGTGCCTCGGGCTCCCAGTCCCCCACAGGTGGTAGTAAAGGTGTTGGCTGGGGTCGTAGTCTCATTGGAGATCACCAATGTGTCTTTTTGACAAGCCTCAGTCTTCACTGACCAGAGACATCTGTTCCCTGCCTTGTAGGCCCCAGGGTTGCTCCTGGTATGGAAGCCCACTTCCTCCAGAGCCAGTGCTCCAAAAGAGACAGCAAGAGAAGGTGGCCCAGACAGAGCTGTGGTCTTTTGGTCACCTCACCCTCTCTTGAAAGTGACATCCCATTGCTTTGGAATAGAAGCAGATTGCGAGGTCTGGTCCTCACTCAAGGGTAGGGGATTGCATAGGGCGTGAAGACCAGGCGAGGGGTCCATGAGGCCCATCTCAGATGTGGACCATCACAGGGGTCTCGGTCACACAGAAAGCAGAGAAGGCGAGAATGTGCACATTCTGCAGGGGCTCATGAGAGACTGTAGCTAGCTGGGGATTTGGGGAGGTCCCTCGTGGCGGCTTGCTTTTGAGATGGTCCTGGGGTGACTGGATCCTCGGCAGAAGGAACCCTGGTTCTACCCCTGTACTCGGTGTCTGGTTCCAAACCCATGGCTGATCTGAAGCTGGAAGTCATGCCGGGGAAGTGGGCTCTCTCTGCAGACGCTCACAGCAGGTGCAGGCGGCACCTAAGAAGGGCAGAGCATGGACAGGAAATGCAGAGGAGACGTTTAGGACTTCCAAGTACAAGGCCATCCACGACCATCGTCCAGTCACACAGCGGAGGCTCTGAGGGGACCGACAGTGACCTTGGAGGAGCACGCTCCACAGGAGCAGCACATTGTGCATCAGAAGGCAAAGGAGTGGAGGAATTCTAGAACACTTCACTTTAAACACAGCAGTTACTCTATAAAATTTGGAGTCCTTCAAGAAAGTGGAACGTCAGCCATGGGTCCACGTTGAGTTCTCAGCACAAGAAGAGCAAAGGGAAGGTGCGCTAATGAGGCGCAACTGCTGGTCTCGTACTCCGTCGTGTCAGTAAAACACACACCACTTTCAGTTAATTCATAAGGACGCAGCTGTTTTGCCTTGTTTTTACAGACTGACTGGTAAGTGTGGCCCTAGCAGAGGTCCCTCTGAGTCACGATGGAATTGCAGTCCATAGCTTTGCAGCAGGGTTTTCCTGTATTGGCCTCTGAGAAAAACTGAGTTCATACGTAGGTGAGAGCGTGCCTATTTCTGGAGGCAGATGGATTAAAGGAACTGCAAGAGAGTGGCCTGCTTACTTTTTTGATGTTCAAAATGAACATCTGTGGCTTACACCCTATTAGCAAGGAATGTGCTCCTCCTGTCCTTCCAGCGGAGCTGGGGCCTGGAGAGTCTTGATTCAGATTGCTACCTGGCCCTACCTTTCTCATTAAAATACATCCATTTAAGTCATCCCTATCTTTCCCATTAAAATACAGCCATTTAAGTCATCCCTGTCTTTCCCATTAAAATACAGCCATTTAAGGGTGTGGGTCTGAATTTGGATTATAGTCCTGCTCTTAGTGCTGGTGTGCCTTGGACAATTTTCTTCACCTCTCTGAATCTTCATTGCCTCACCTGCGAGATTGAGATGCTGTTTTCTACCTTGCAGAATTTGCTTGTGATACTGTATCAGGTGGCAATTTCCTGATGCAGTTCCTGGAATTCTAGGTGCTTAATAAGTGGGGTTCCTTTAAAAGTACAATTTAAAAAACAAAGCTCTCAGAGTATCACCCCAAGACCCTCCAGTCGCGCCTGTTGAATGATTACTAATGACCCCAGGAAAGCCTGTCCCATGCTGTTTTCCCTGAGACGGGAAGCTCATGCAGGTGAGCTCCGTGGCTTGATTCCTGTTGCCACTTAGAGTTTCTCCTTCCCTAACTTCCCGAACTCCTTCCTCAACTGAGTGACTGAGATTTCTTCAGTTTATCCCCCTTCACTGTAATTCCATTATCTAAAAATTCTCTACACACATAGTGACATCGAGATGGGATCACCCCTCCACACCACTCTTAAGCATCGACCTCGGCACCCCCTCCCTGGACATTCCCTGGTTTCTCACACAGTAGCATTGCCGCCACCTCGAGTTAATCCGTATCAGTGTTGTGATTGTCACTGGGACGGTGGAAGGTGGTTGGGGTTGGCGGCAGGGCCTTCAGTGCTTGGTTGCTGTCAAGCCGCTGGTGAGGCAGCCTTGACCGTGGTGAGGAGCACGCGGCAGAAGAAGCCCGTTGGCTTCAAGGCACTCAGGAAGCAAAAAGAGAAAAGAAGGGGCCAGGGTCACACTGTCCCCTCCCCGCCCAGGGACACAACCTCCTTCCACTAGGCCCCACCTCCTAAGGATTCCGCCACCTCCCGGGGAGCCAGCCTGTAACTCTGGAGCCTCTGGGGACGGCCCAGATCCAAGCTGCAGCATGGCTCTGTGTGGGTTCCCACGTGGGTTTCTTTGCTGTTCTGCACGTCAGCGTTTCTTTCGGCACCTACTTTTCCTCTTGAAGGACATCCCTTACAGTTTGGGGTGTGTGGTGTGTGTGTCTCAGAGGCGAAGCCTTGGACTGAAACGGCCTCCTCCTCACCCCTGCCCTTGAGTGGCGCTGGCGCTGGGTGGAGAGCCTGACGGACGTTCTTTCTGTGCACCTTCAAAATGACGCTGTGTGACCTCCCTGGACTTGGGCCTCCTGTCCAACGTTGGCCCTGGGGAGGGAGGGAAGCTCTCTTACCTATGGATACACGAAAGCTTCGTTTTGTCTGCGATGTCATGAAGACCCACTCTCCCTTCATCGTTCTTTCTTCTGCTTAACTTTCCGCAGCTCCTGAATTTCAGAATTGAGGTCTGTGTCCGGTAGACTGATACCGTTTCCCCAGAAATGCCCAGTCCTCACGCCCTGGGCCTTCGGTTACATGGCGGGGAATCAAGGTCTCAGAGGGAACTGAGGCTGCTCATCAGCTGCACTGAGCTGAAGGGAGCAGGATTACCTGGATTTCCTGGAGGGCCCAGTGCCATCGAGGGCCCTTCACTGTACAAGAGGGAGGCAGAGGAGCCGCTCTCCCAGAAGTGCCAGGAGGGAACGTGAGCAGGACCCTGCTGCCCGTGGCTGGCTCTGGGGAAGAGGCAGGGCCTGAGCCAGTGCAGCCGCCTCTGGTTGCTGGAGAAGGCAGGGAAACGGACCCTCCCGCCAGCCTCTGGGCGGGAGTGCAGCGGTGCCGGGGTTTGCTCCCGCTTTTCTTCTTTGGATCCTGCCTCTGCCCTGTCCTCTGTGACCTCCTGAGAGAACCCTGCAGCCTGGTCTCAAGTCTCCTGGGCCTGTCACGCTGGGCGTGACCCTCCCGTGACGTCTTGCCCCTGGCTCCTGTGCTCTAGGCGCTGGATGGTGACGTCAGGTCTCGGGTCACTTGCCCTCCCTTCACTCCTTCAGTTTGTCACTGTGAGAAGCTTTTACTCCTTAAAGCTGGTTTCCCACGATCTTCTCTTCCTTCTCTGTGGTTCTCGTGTGTCCTTCCTCTCCCTTCTTATTTCCAGTGTTTTCAGTTGTCGTCTCTTTTAGGTCGCTGTCACTTACAGTCGTCTTCCCGTCCGCAGAGTGCAGACTTGTGTGCTGTGGGATCCGGGGTCGTGAGCTCAGCCTCGGCAGGGACTGTTTTCCTGGGACAGTCCTCATGCAGTCCCGGTCTCTGTTCTCTCCAGAGGACTCTGACATTCGTTTTGATGGGATACCTCAGCGTTGTCGCCAGCCGAGTCCAGTTTCATGTTAATTTTTCTGAGGTGGAGATCTCCCTCCTGTGTGCATATGATAACTCAGCACTTCAGATCCACATGCAGAGCAGGCTTGGAGTTTCAGTTTCTCATGGGAGATTTTTCCTATAGCCGAGATGAATTATTTGTTTGAGCCACGTCTTTGACTGTGGGGAGGGGAACAGGTGGCAGAGAGGCTGTGCTGGTTAGTGGTGGAGTGGATCAGCACAGCTGTCTGTCTCCACATCTAGGACTCTAGCAGCCTGGCCACACGACCGTGTGAACTCACCCCAAACTCCTGGGTGCCCAAGAAGAATGGTGTATGTGGGGTGGACACGTCTGCTGCAGGAGTGGGACTGGAAGGAGTCAGAAAGTGTGAAGGGCTGCTGGGGTCAGTTGACCCAGAGTCCAGACTCTGAGTCTCGGATGACGCTCTGGCCTCTGTGGCCAGCATGCATGTGGCAGGGGTCAGCTTCCGAGTCTGGCTGCACCATAAGCTCTGCTCTCCCCTGTGCTCTGCAGAGCTCATACCCGACTGCTCCAAAAGCCAGACGGCTGTTCCTTGGAGGGCGTTAGCCAGAGGGCCAAAGTCAGCTTTTTCACTGGTGTGACTAAAAGACCCGACCAGAATGATTTTAGAGGAGGAAAAGTTTATTTAGGGACTCACAGTTTCAGGAGTGTCTATTCATAGACAGTCGGCTCCATTCCTTGGGGCTCGAGGTGAGGCAGAACGTCATGGTGGAAGAGGGTGGTGCAGGGAAGTCGCTCACATGATGATCAGGAAGCAGAGAGACTGCGCTTACCAGATCCCAAATATATACCCCAAAGACATGCCCCCAAATCCCACCTCCTCCAGCCACACCCTACCACCTTCAGTTATCACTCAGTTATCCCCATCAGGGGATTATTTCACTGAGTGGGTCGAGCTTTCATGACCCAGGTATCTCTCCTCTAAACCTTCTTGCATTGTCTCACACATGAGCTCTTGGGGACACCTCACATCCAGACCGCGATGACAGTTGCCTCGAGAGGCAGCCTCACCTGTGTTCAGGGCTTCCTGATGTGCGAGAGCAACCTGGATCTTTTTCTTTGGGGGTTGGAGGAAGGTGCTGTGCGAGAATTGCTATGTAATGAAGCAAGCAATGATTGAGTGCCCCCAGTATGCCAGGTATCATACTAGGCTCTGAGAATATGGTGGGAGTGAGCGAGCCGTCATTCTTGTCCGTATTAAAATCACAGCCTAGCTGGGCAAGCAGTACCCCTTTAGTGGCATGAAGGGGAGGAACGGAAGGCTCTTGGTCTAGAATTCACCATCCCTCCTAGGAATGGAGCCTGCAGGTGGCCAGAGCATCTTCTGCTTCCTTCAGTCCTCACTCTGGTCCTTGAAAGTGGGTGCTGTGGTCCTCCCCATGGAAGAGGAACCAAGTGCTCTCAGTGTGTCTCAGGTCACGTCCCTGGGACATGGCAGAGCCACGGCTCCCAACAGGTTTTCTTACTCTGTAGGACTTGAACCCAGGTCTAGCTCTGATGCCAAAGCCTGTTTGCCATGAGCCACCAACAGGCACTGTGAGGGTCTGGGCTGAACTCAGGACGGACAAGAGTCCAACTGAACTGAGCCGTGGAGAGAGGCTGCCGACCTCACCTGGGCTGCAGGCAGCTATTTTTCCACACCTGTAAACGGCTCAACTAGCAAATGGCACAAGAGGATTTGTAGAGATTTACCAGGGATTGCCCGGCACCCGGCCCGTCTCCCCGGTCTGAGCCAGTGACCACAGGCTCCTTATTAACTCCTCTGCGTGCTTCAGGAACGGTGTCGGGAGGCTTGGGTCTGATAAGCATTCCCTTCCTCGGTGTGGGCGCTTGCTTGTGTTCAGGGCAGACTCCCTGCACTGGCAGAGCAGTTTGCTCACCTCTGGCCTCAGGGCCTGGCGTCCGGCTTCCAGGGCAGACGCTCATCCCTGCCCCTTCACCTCTGCCCGCAGATCATGAAGGAGGTCCGGCGAGCACTGTGCAACGCGGCCACGGACGACAGCAAGCTGCTGCTGCTCAGCGCGGTGGGGAGCGTGTTCTGCAGTGGCCTGGACTACTCCTACCTGATTGGCCGGCTGTCCAGTGACCGGCGGAAGGAGAGCACTCGAATTGCAGAAGCCATCAGGTAAGTTCTGCTCCTGTTGGGACACATCGGGGTTCTAAGGTTTCCCCATTTAGCAGACAAAAAAGTACAGGTTGCCCAGTTAAATTTGATTGTCAAACAGTGGAACATATTTTTAGCATAAGTTTGTGCCAATGCAATGTTTGGGATCTACTCATGTTTAAAATGATTAGTTATTTATCTGAAATTTGGGTTTTAATGGGCTATTTTGGTTTTATGTGCAGCCCTAGTCCTGCCTTGCTCTCCAGGTCAGATCCCACTCTTATTAGTCTTTTGATCAGAAGGAGACTTTTTCCCGACTGAGGCCCGTGTCGGCTGATGCCCATGTGTTGGGCACTCTCCTCCTCCTGGAGGTCCCTGCTTTGCTTGTCTGGACGTTCCTGGGTCCTGGACCTGAAATGGCTGGTTGTCAGGGTGGAGGCAGGTGCTCTGGGCAGCTGAGCATCCTTAGACCCTGTGGAGTGGAGCGTTCCCCTCTCTGTTGCCTTTGGGTAAAGTTGGGGTCCTGGTATGACATCGGTGTCCCCTTTGAGACACAAAGTTTGCTCATTTCCCCATTCTTTATAAATGTGTCCAAAGCCAGTGAGGTGACTTCTAGCCAGGCCACTGAGCTGGTTACAGCCATCCTTCGGCGTCCACTCCAGCAAGGGCTGATGTGCTCGCTGCTGTACCTGGCTCAGGGAAGCAGACCAGAGACACAGTTTAGTAATGTCCCCTGGTCTCCTCAGAAGGGACACTTACTTCATCCTCAGCCTAGGCTGTACGTGGGGGATTTTCCGGCCTCCAGCCTCACTGCAGTCTGGCCACGTCACACAGCAGGCGACACTGGAGCGCCTGTGCCTGTGTTCCTCGTTCCCGCGTCCCTCTCCAGGGAGCGCCTGCTGGTGCCCTTGCTCAGAGCGCCACGTGCTTCCTGTTGCAGAATGCTTTCCAGAGGGCACGGGAAGCCTGGTCACCAGCTCTGTGCTGCCCCCAGGCCTGCAAAGCACAGCCCAGCCCCAGTCACAGGCAGTGTGTTCTCTGCTTGGACTCAGTACTGGCTTCTCCTGAGTTGAGGGGACCGGCAGCTTCCCCATGATATTTCCCGCCTCGGTAGTGGCCAACAGAACCCACTTCAGGGGACCCAGCGCTCCCCCTGCCAGCCTGGCTCAGTCTTGGTCTGGGTGTGTTGCCATCAAGGCCCCCGCTGGATCTCCAGACGCCTGGGTGCACCTGCGTGACCTTGTCCCTGGCTGTCACTCCACTCACACTCTGCTCAGAGCAGGCAAACCTCGTGCAGCCCCCCAAACATACACCCACATTCAGTCCAAATCCCGGACTCTGCACATGTGACTTTACTTGCAAAAAGGGTCTTTGCAGAAGTTCTCAGTCCTGAGATGAGGTCCTCCTGGAATAGAGTGGATCCACACCCAAAGAGAATGCCCTTAGGAGAGGAGACAGAGTGAGCAGGAGGAGGTGGCCTAAGGCAGAGAGGGAGGGAGGGAGGCATTGCCAGCCAAGGAACTCAGGTGGCCCGTGCCACAGGAGCAGCCAGCCTGCCCACCCCAGGCTTGGGACTTGGGTCTCCACAAGGAGGGGAGAGTGGTTTCTGTTGTTTGGAGCCTGCGTGTGGTGGCCATGACAGCAGCCCTGGGAGACGGCTGCTCCTGGGGAAATTGTCACATCTCAGAATGTCCCGCCCATCACCTGGGTTCTCCTCTCAGGCAAGCTCCATGCCGACCTCCACTCTGGCACCCTAAAGGCCACTCCTTCCAGGGCGCCCTGTTTATCTGCTGGTGGGGTCTATTAGCAGGGCATCCCTGACAGCTGTCGCACAGTGGCCTCTGTCAGTCGTGGGTGGATGTGATGAGGTTGTCCAGTGGGGTTGTGGGGTGGTGCCAGGGCACATGGGAACAGGGACTTGCAGCAGTGTCACTGTGGGCAGGAAACCCAAACAGAAACAGGGGCCCCAGGAGGCTGGAGCCCCCACATGCTCGCCCACCCCTGCAGCTTTTCACCACCAGTGAGGACAGTGGCCTCTCCCCAGCCTCCCCCTGCATCTGCCTCTAGATCTGTTAAGGCTGAGGGGTGTGGTCCTGCCTCCTGTTCCCCATAGCCTCCCCTTCAGGGTCACAGGACTGACATCCACACCCTTCTAGAGAGTTGGGAACCCAATCTAGGGAGGTGGCGGTGTCAGGGGCAAAAAGGGATGAGAGACATCAGCCATAGGAAGCTGCAGTGGAGACGGGTCCGGGGTCTGGGTCCTGGACTGGCTTCTGACGTCTCCAACTGGGAAACCCAGGGAGCCCCAAAGCAGGGCCCTGCATACAAGGAGATGCCAGAGCCCCAGTCCCACCCAGGGGAGGCACCTCCAGTGGGACGCAGACCTCACCGTCTCAGCAGCCAGCTGCACACGGGGCCAAGCCTGAGGCAGCACAGGGGCTTCTTCCTCATGCTTCAGGGGGAGCGGGGGCTAATTTATGGGCTGTGGAGGTGGGAAAGGGGACATCCCTTGGCTCTCTTGTTCCCTGCCCTCAGAGCATGGAGAGGCAAGAGGGCTCCTTTCCCAAACCCAGCTGCCTGGCAGCCCCCGCGGGAGGTCCTGAGGGAGCCGGGGCAGCCCATGTGCTGTGGCAGAGTCCCCCCGGCTGTGATGTGCAGCACTGACCAGGAGGTTCCTACACAGGGGTCGAGAGTGCTGAAGGAGGGACAAAAGGACAAGACGGAAAAGGTGGTTGTGAGGAGTGGAAGGTGCGGAAGGAGGAGTCAGGGTGTCAGGAGGCAAGACTGACAGCCTCAGCACGGGGGAAGAGACCCAGGCGCAGACAGTGTGGCTGCATGGAGATGAGTGCTCGGGCCACAGAGGGACTGTCAGACCCCGCTCGAGATAGGAGTCTCGGGCTCCCACTCAGGGGTGCACCCCCGGAGCCCAGGACTTCTTGGTGGTTGGGCTTCCAGGGCAGGGCCTGTGGCTGAGCTGAGTCCCACCCAGCTCCTGCAGGTTCCCAGGTGCATGACGTGTTTACAGGCCCAGCCGTGTCTTGTGCAAGAGCTTCATTCACAGTCCAGCGGGGCGGAACATCTTCTGGACGTGGAGCTGTGCCCTTTCTCCACATGACCTGCGGACGTCCCTGGCGGTTGTCCCATGCTCTTGCAGGGCTGACCCGGGGCTCAGACATCTCCTGAGCAGTGTTCCCACCCGCTCCCCCTCCTTGCCTAAGGAAAGCAAGCACACAGGGCGGTGCTGGCTCACTCTGCAGGTGTTTGACGGACTAGCGGAGGTCGGTCGAGGAGCAGATGTGGTCCATTCCCAGAAGCCTCTCCCCAGGACCATCCTGAAAGAGGCTGCCCTCACCTGAACTTGGCATGGATGGTGTGGTGTCTTGTCCAGTGTGGGGTTTAGGAAGGCGGCATGGGCTAGTGGCACCCACAAGGTGTGCGGAGGCTACTTGCTAGTGGTATGGCCTTCAGCTCTTCTCCTGTCTCACTAAGGCCACTGGCTCCTGTGGAAAATGGGAATCATCACATGATGGCCCTGGCCTCCCTGGTGGGCTGCCCGCTGAGGAGCAATCAGGTTCCCTGCATGAGCGCTCCTGGCACTTACCAAGCCCAGAGCATTAGAGGTGAAGAGTCACGATCATTTTTGTTAGGCCTTCAGCCATGGGACAGAGCTGCGCGGAGCCTGACTACGGTGGGCTCCCGAGACCCCTCAGTGCCGGTTGCTGAGTGCATCTGTGCTCCCAGGCCTGGTCTGCCGACTCGCCTCTGAGACTTGGCAGTAAAGGAGCTGCCTTCAGGGCTCTGGTCAAAGAGAGTGGTCGATGGCTCACAGAAGAAATGCCGGTGCTCCGGGTGACATCCGCACACCCCACGAGCAGTTTGCCTTGAGTCTCCCTTAGGGTGTGTGGGCTGGGCTTTGTCTTTTAATTCTGATGCAGCCCCGTGGGGAGCCAGTATAGGTGTTTCCATTTTACAGAGGGAGAAATTGAGGCTCCAGAGGAGACCTGGCAGCCTGTCCACTGTTCAGTTAAGGGGCAGAATTGATATTTGACCCCACGTCTTTCAAATTTTGAATTCCTTCCCCTTCTGCCACATCAGAGCAGCCTAGCAGCTGGTCAGGCAGCAGCTCAGGGCTTGTGCTGAGCAGAAGGAACTATGAAGGCCGGGGTCAGCCTGATGGCCGTGGAAACAGGGAAGATGGCAAGCCGTCTTGCGAGCCCAGCCCTGCCGTGGCCGTCAGATCAGATATCTGAGCCACAGGCGTGTAATGCAGTATCCTGTTTGCTGTCTGGCTCCCACATCCCTGGGGCCCTTGAGATAGAGATCTGCCGCCCGAGGTGAGAGAATAGGAGGGGAGGGCCATCTTCACAAGGCGTTTTATACCAAGGAAATGAAGTGAGGGGTAGAGAAATGAACAGGAGCAGCACTCTCAGGTGGAGAGTCTGAGCCCTGTGTGCTTGGGCCCCAGCACCCCGCTTCATGGTCCCCGATGCCCTTGCCCAGAGCTCAGAGGGCTCTAGAGTCCTCAGGGAAAGGCTCTCAGAGGTGGGGGCTTCGGTTGATTGCTGAAGGACTGTGGCACAGATGGCAGAGCCAGGTAATGGGGACATCTGGGAGGCCCACCAAAGGGTCTTGGCCGTCACGGACCCTGTCACTGAAAATGTCCGACAAAGGTGGGATGGGGCTTCCTCAGGACGTGGTGCTGGGGGTTCTGTACCAAGTAGAAGAATTGGCTCAGTGAGTCGGAAAGTCCTTCCCAAGTCTGAGATCCACTGTTCTGGAGTTGTATTGGCACAGGAATGAGATGTCTGATGAAAACCACCAAAGCCTGGGGTTCCAAGGATCCTAGGAAGAACCCCCATCCCCGAAGACTCCAGATTACACTGGTGAAAAGCAAGCCAGTGACCAACCTAAAATCTCACTGTGAGGTTGGGAAATGAAGCCAGGGGTCGGTTGTCAGGGGGTCGGATGCCAGGACTCTTTGTAGGGGTATCTTTTTAGGTCAGCTGCAGTGAGGCCAGCAGTGACTGCGGTAACTCCAATATCTGAGACCATATGATGCCCAAGCCTGGTACAAAGCTGTGCACTTTCATGATGACTTGTATAGGTCATGTGACATCCCTAGTCCCAGCAGAATATGAAGTGATCTCACAGTAGACTCCAACGCCAGCATGTCATTGTGATACCCACATCTCTTGATGTGAGTTACGGGAGGATCATTAACTTTCTATTAGTTAAATATTGGCTGCCATAACTCAGCTATGATAGAAATTTACTTCTTGGTTATGTAAACCTGAAACACGTGTCACTGATCATCCTGTGGCTGTCATCCAAAAGAGACTGAGGACTGTGGCTCCACTCCTGTCTTCCTAGACTGCGTGCTCATTTAGATGGCAGGGCTTGGAGGACTGTGTGGTGGGAGACTGAGCACCTGGAGTGGTTTCTACTCCATACCTAGTTGTAGGGGAGGCTGGGGAATGTGTTCTACCAGCAGATTCAGAAAAAAGAAAGAAGAGATGGATTTGGTGAAGAGTTAGAGTCCTTGCCTGCAGTCCTTGCTGTCCTTCTGGGAGACTCATGTATTTCTTCAACAGCTGTTCACTGAGCATGAATTTCAGTATTGATGGAAACCCAGCAGTGCCCCGGGCAGACCTAAGGGTGTCCTTAAGGAGCTAAAAGGAAGAAGGATTCCAAAGCAAATGATTCCAAAGCAGATGATCAGTAGGGTAGTTGCAAATTGATAATGGTATTTCCAAGAACTCTTGGAGGCCTTTGTGGCTCTTGCACAGTGAGGAGGGTCAGGAGCCACGTAAGAGAAGCCTGAGAGGTCAGTCAGGGCAGAGCAAGGTTGTGAGTTCTTGATAGCTTCTAGTCTTGGGTCTGAGAATAATGGGGGATGCTGGCTTTACTAGACATTGTGGCTCTTTCCTGCATATCCAGATGAATATTAACAGTTTATAGATCTTATCTAGCAACTGGGGGAAGGCAAAAGCTTTGAAGGCAGAGGAAGAAGAGTCATTCCTAGTGGCTCTACCTGGGAGGTAGAGATGCGTACAGAAGGTCAGGGAGAGAGCGTGTTACCACACCCTGTGGTCACTATTCCAGAGGCCTGATGCCTGGGGGCAGCCCAGCACCTTCCCAGTGGGTTCAGAGTCACCCTGTGGGATGTAGACCCTCACTAGCATCATGGAATCACCCTCAGCGGCTCTGGCATCCCTGTAGGTGGTGCAGAATCTTAGATGTCACTAGCCCACCCGTGGCCACCATTTGAAGCATGAGTTCCCTCCTCAGCTTGGCCCTGGTGCTCACTGAGCCAGACAGAGCAGGGTTCCTATAACAGCAGGGGTCTCTGCCTCCCAGAGCCGCCCCATTCTGCTCCGGGCCAGGGGTATGTGGACATTCTTTCTCTCTTCTTGTTGGATTTGTCTCTGGGACATCCTTCTGCTGGCTCTGGCTCTGGTTCTGGTTTGGAACCCTAGCATTCAGGTCCACCTGTGTCACTGTCTAGGGTGTCTGTATCATTCACTGTCCATGACGTAACTCTCAAGAGTAGAAAGGAGGCCGTGGGAGCTGGGCATGGGGCTGGGACATTGCACATGACCTGAGCCAACTGAGACAGCCACCACACAGGGCCTCTGTGCCCAGAGAAATGAGGCCCTGCCTGACCTCTGCTCACCTCTGACAGCTGGAGTGTGCATCGCAGCACCTGGGAGAATCGGGGGCATCCAGAGGGGCTCAGCAAGCTGAGGCTGCCTGGTAAAGAGGGTCTTCTTTCTCCCCCAGGGACTTTGTGAAGGCCTTTATTCAGTTTAAGAAGCCTATTGTGGTGGCCATCAACGGGCCAGCCCTGGGCCTGGGTGCCTCCATTCTGCCTCTCTGTGACATCGTGTGGGCCAGCGAGAAGGCCTGGTTTCAGACACCCTACGCCACCATCCGCCTCACGCCCGCTGGCTGCTCCTCCTACACCTTCCCCCAGATCCTGGGTGTGGCGCTGGTAAGCCTCCCCTTTCCCAGGGGCCTCTCTTTCTGGGATGATACGTTGGGTCCTGGCAGGATACCCCCGTCTTAAGATGTGGCTTCTTATGGCTAGAAACCTGGGGGCCCTGTTAGCCTGCAGACTCTGTCTCAGCTGGCTGAAGCTGGGCTGGTCGCAAGGCCTCCAGGCTGAATGGAATGACCCCCCCTCGAGGCTGTGCACTCCTTGAGCACCCGTGGTGTGCCGGGCTTTCCACCCAGGTGCTGTCTCACCGTCTAGTGGCAAGAAGACCCAGAGGGCCTCCAGTTCCCTGTTCCATCCCAGCCAGGGACTGCCATCCTCTTCAGTTCCTCCCCATGCTTGTGGTCACAGAAATGAGGGGGACAAGTTCTTGCTGACTGGGTTCTGTCTGGCTCCTTCTGCGGAGTTCATTCATCCATCCATTCACTCACTCACTCCTGCTTCCCGCGACTGAGGACAGCCTCACGCCCTTGTCTTCAAACCTCTGGCGAACACAGTAGAGGCTATGGCCAGCCTGATACCTTTCTCTACACTGGCCTGAAAGATTGTCCTCTGGGTCATCAGGAACCATGAGTGACAGTCAGAATGGGGAGAGAGACTTATGAAAAGATCCGGAGGCCAGAGAGCTGGGCAGCTCACACCTGACCTGAGAGAGGCCAGTGTTCAGTGGAGTCGGGAGGAGCAGAGGGGGCAGAGCAGGAGGAAAGGTGCTGTCTGTCTGCCACGGGAGGGAGGTGGGGGCTCATTTCAGAGGAGATGTGCACCCTCATTAGCTCCTGGCTGTAAGCTTGTGCTGGGTACTGCCATGGGCATGTCTGTGCCCAGGACCTTTTTTGTGTAGCTCCTCCCAGACAGTGTGTGTCGGTCAGATTTCCACTGCTGGGACAATTACCTGGGACAGTCAGCTTACGAAGGGGAAAGGCTTTATTTTGGCGTACAGTCCTGGAGGTTCCAGTCTGTGCTCAGTTGGACCCACTGTTTTGGCCCGGTGGCAGTGTGTGCTGGGGCAGAGCTGCTCTCCTCGTGGTAACTGGAAGTGAGAGAGAGAGGAACTGACCGGGGTCCCATAATCCCTCCAAGGGCACACCCCCCGTGACCCCAAACCTCCCACTAGGCCCAGCCTCTTAAAGGTTCTGCCATATCCCAAGAACACCAAGCTGGGGACCATGCACTGGACACATGGGCCATTAGGGGTTTTTTGAAGATCAAAACTAAGCCAGGTGTACTGGTGAATGCCTGTAACCCCAGTTGCTTGGGAGGCTGAGGAAGGAGGATCACATCTGAGGCCATCCTCAGAAACTTAGTGAGATCTAAGACACCCTTCAGTTCAATTCCCAGGATGAAAGGAAGGAAGGGAGGAAGGAGGGAGGGAGAAAGGATTGAAACTATTGCACTATGTATGACAGCCGCAGATTTTTTTTCCCATTTTTTTAATTCTAACTTGTTATATATAACAGCAGAATGCATTATAAATCATATTACACACATAGAGCACAATTGTTCATACCTCTGGTTGTACACAAAGTAGAGTCACATCACTCGTGACTTCATACATGTACTTAGGGTCATGATGTCTGTCCCATTCCACTGTTTTTCCTACCCCCGTGACCCTTCTCTTCCCCGCCCTCGCCTCTTCCCCTTTGCCCTATCTAAAGTTCGTCTAATCCTCCCATGCCCCCCATCCCCACTATGAATCAGCATCCTTAAATCGGAGAAGACATTTGGCATTTGGTTTTGGGGGATTGGCTAACTTCACTTAGCATTATATTCTCCAACTCCATCCATTTACCTGCAAATGCCGTGACTTTAATCTCTTTTAAAGCTGAATAATATTCCGTTGTGTATATATACCACAGTTTCTTTATCCATTCATCTACTGAAGGGCTTCTAGGTTGGTTCTACAGAAAATTAGCTATTGTGAATTGGGCTGCTATAAACATTGATGGGGCTGTGTCCCTGTAGTATGCTGTTTTTAAGTCCTTTGGGTGTAGACCAAGGAGAGGGATAGCTGGGTCAAATGGTGGCTCCATTCCCAGTTTTCCAGGGATTCTCCATACTGCTTTCCATATTGGACAGCCACAAATTTTAAAGCAGAAGAAATCTCGGAAGAGTGGGCTCTAGAGGCAGCCAAATGAGGAGCCCGGGGAGGGCTGCTTTCTGCCCTCTATCCTGCATGGTACCTGTGCCCAGCCCTGGGCCACTGGAGAGATGCTCCCCCACCTTAGTGTGAAGGTGTTTTGGTTTCCAGGGATGGCAGTACTTCACTGGCTTAATTTTTTTAAAAATAAAGGAGCTAAGTGGTGCTCCTAGCTGGAAGGTCCATAAACGGAGCTTCCGTGGGGAGACAGGCCCGAGAGTCCCAGCACCTTTAGTCTTCTCTCTCTCTGTTTCTCCTTTTCTTACGGACTCTCGTCTCCACAGTGCAGGGACGCAGCTGGGGTGTCCTCTGGGCTCACTGGTGTTGGTCTGTACCCCGAGAGGAAGAGCCCTCCCATCATGTGTGGCGGGGAGCCTCCTGGAAGAGCTTTATTGTGTGGGGTAGATCACCTCCTCATCCCTGGACTGCTGTCGCAGTGGTGAGTGGGCCCTGATGTGGGTCCTGCCCACAGCAGGTTCCCACTGACAGAGGAGCAGTAATGGGCAGGTGAGGCCACCGGAAATACATGGCTCCCTTTGAGAACTGGATGGAAGCTATGGACTCTCTGCTCAGAAAAACGCTCAGAGATGCTAATGTCTGCATGCAGTTTGCACAGCGTATTCAATCCCAAGTTGCAGATCCTGCCTCGTAGAGCAGGGAGTTGGGTACAACCAGCCCAGGGTTCCCTAAGGGACACAGGCACAGCTCTGGTCCTCAGCCTTCCCCTGCCTTTGCTCTTTCAGGCTAACGAGATGCTGTTCTGCGGGCGGAAGCTCACGGCCCAGGAGGCCTGCAGCAGAGGCCTGGTGTCCCAAGTCTTCTGGCCCACCACGTTCAGCCAGGAGGTCATGCTGCGGGTCAAGGAGATGGCGTCCTGCAGTGCTGTGGTGAGTTCCTGCACCTCCGGGGGCTTGCCCTGGCAGTGGACCCCTGTTAAGAGAGGACAGCCAGGCTTAGAGGGGCTAATTGGCATGGCAGAGTCATGCCGGGAGTAAGGGAAAGGCCCTTGCCTCTGCTCAATGCCACACGCTTAATTCACAAAGAAGGGTCACACTTGGGGGTGGAGTGCTACTCCATGGACAGTCCTGAGCCCCACAAAAGCACAACGCAGAAGCCCGGCCAGTAGAGGACTGGGAATGGACCCGGCCCAGGGTCGACTGGTCTGGGCTGCACTGTCCCTGGACTTCATTTCTTCTGCCCACCGAGTACTTGTCACGTATAAACGCTGCTGCTCGCCTCTGAAGACACACTGAAAAACAGATAAACAACACCTCCGCAGAGGTGCCGGTTTCAATTGTGGATGTTCTGAGCACGGGAGAGACAGGTGGGAAGGGAAGGCCGGGGTGCTGATGCCTGGGGCCAGTTCTGGAGCAGAGATGTGGGCGCTGGGGAGAGGAGACCCCAGGTTCTCAGCTTCAGAAGTGGGCATTGGCCGGGTTTGTGGGGCCGTACCCCACCTCCCTTCCTTTCTCCCTCCACCTGTTCCCCACCCAGCTGTCAGGATTTTCTGTGGGCCTCTTCAGCCCTTGATTTGTCACCTACTGTGTATCCACCTGATGATGGTGGTGGGGACGCTCTCCTCGCTGGTGAGGGGTCCTTGCTAATCTCTCTGGATTTGCCTTGAACCTTCCTGATGTCTGCATGGCCCACTCGTCCCACTTTGCCTGAGATATTTTCTGGTCAGCACTGAACCCCATAGTCCTGGGCTAACAGATGGGATCATCCCGGAGCCGGTTCCCAGAGGCAGGTGGAAAGGCTAAGCAGAGGAAACTCGGGGCAGAGGCTCCCAGAGTCAGCGAGGCCAAGAGGGGGCAGGAGGCCTGTGCTGCATTCAGGAGTGGGGTCTGTGCCCTGGGGACAGTAGGGGTCACTCAGGTGAAGAGCTATTGAAAGGACACCAAGGAGACATGCTTAGCAGAGGCCTGTGACCAGAAGTACTGCAAGGAAATCAGTGTCACCGACACTCTTGGGTCCAAGAGCTTTGGGGGATTCCCAGGAGGAAAGCTTCCCGTAGCAGGAAGCTGTGTCCCTGGGAGGTGGTGCTCCTGGGAAGGATGGAGGCCGGTGCCTTCCGGCACCTTCCCACTACCTGTGCCCCTTGCCATGCTGGGGAGTGAGGTCCAGCCATTGGCACCCGGGCATTCTCATCTTGCTTGTTTTTCTGTTGGGAAGCATTTTGGGACGGTGTGAAGCTAAGCCTTGACCTTGGTGGGCATTGGTGGAGGCCAGCAGAAGGATGCTGGAAGGCCTTACTTCTGACCACACCTCTGGTGGTGGGAGGCAGCAGCACTGCTCTGGGGGTGGCCACACCCCCCACTTCCTGCTGTGCCATCGCTGGGCAGCAGGGCCCCTGGGCCGTGCCACCTCCCCCAGGTCCTTCTGTAGTGGCGGGTAAAGTAGGACCTACAGGCAGCTGAGGAGCCAGGGCAGGAGCCCAGGGAAGTGCTTCTCACAGAGTCGCTGTTCGCGGGGTCCTGTTGACACCGTGGCCACTGTGACCGCCACAGTTACTGCTGCTCATTTCTACTGTTAGTGCTCAGGTTCCTTAGCATCAGCGTGGCTTCTGTGAGTCAGTACTGTAGGATCACTGCTGTCACCACGGTGTTTATTGCCCATTACTACGATCATTGTCACCATCACTATGATTCTTATTCCTCCTCTATGATTACTGGCACTGTGTCGCTGAAGTCACTCTGTAGAACCGTTGCTGTGACCTCTGCCGCGTTCTTCGTCACTACGATCAGCACTGGTAGCTGGAGTCATTGTAATTCACGGCGACTGTTACCACTGATGGCTTCAGTTACTATGATTAATTGCTATAGTATTAATGTAAGTGAGTGATGATGATGAGTGTGATGGCTACGGCTATCATTGGTCCTCACTACAGTGATGACTGCCAGTATTGCTGCTGCTCTTCCTACTAAGCCTCCTGAGGACACAGCTATTGGGTGGCAGGTCTGGCTGCCTGGACGGCCGTTTGTTCATTTCATGACACTGTTCTGTGTTCCTAGGGACTTTGAGTGAGGTGTCGCTGTTCCTCACAGATCGCAAGAATTAATCCATTCATGGCGAGGGAAGGGCAAAGCAGTGTTTTACAAACTTTTTTTGTGACATCCATAGAAAATGATGCTGCATTTGTGTTACCCCTGAGTAAAAGATGGGGCTCTTGTGGCCTGGGGTGCCGTGGGCCCCCAGTTGTCCCAGGGGCAGAGAGCTCAACCTCTTGAGCACCCGGCATCCCTCTGTGCTGGGACACGGAGCTGGGAGGCCCCCTGAAGGAGGCTTGGTGCATGGGTGCCCCCCCCACCCATGTGCGCAGGTGGAGTGTGGGCCCCAGGGCTGACCGCTTGCCTCTCCCCAGGTGCTGGAGGAGTCCAAGTGTCTGGTGCGGAGCTTCCTGAAGTCGGTGCTGGAGGACGTGAACGAGAAGGAGTGCCTCATGCTCAAGCAGCTCTGGAGCTCCTCCAAAGGCCTGGACTCCCTGTTCAGCTACCTGCAGGACAAGATCTACGAGGTCTGAAGGGCTCCAGCTCACTTGTGCCCATGCTCAGGGCACCTGACTTCCAGCTCAGCCCTGTGTTCCGGCCACGGAGCCCAGCGTTGCCCTGGCCAAGGAGGCTGTTGAGCTGTCTCTGTCCCTAGGGTCGTGTCCATTTCCTTGTGTCCTCTGGTCGTCCTCATTGGCTTGATTCTGTGTAACAGTGGGAAGGGCAGCGTCCTGGGCCTCCCACACCCCTCCCAGCTGGTACAGAGGTCTCCAGGGCTGCGTCTTCCCAGGGCTCCGCCAGGTGCCGCTGGCCTTTCCCCACTTGCTGACATGCACCACCGTGGTCCAGGAACGGGATGCCACTCTCCCCATCCTTCTGACTCAGGCTGTGTCTGCACAGTGCCTCTGATTTGGAGATGGGGCCCTCACGGCTCTCTCTGGCTAAGTGTAGATCTTGTGCCAGGGGACGATCAATCTTAGGGAATTCACAGACCAATGAGCAAGTGCTTGTGTAGACCTGGCTTCAGTCTCCTCTCCAGTGCGAATCTGTGTGACTCTTAGGGCTTGGTCTTAAAACCCAACCAAGTGATTTACAAACCCAGATATTGTACATTTAGAAATGTTTTGTTAAATATATATTTTTAAAACAATGTAAGTGGAAATTCTGATAATTTATGTGTATTATATGTAAAGCTAGTTTTGCAAAAAAAAAAAAAAAAACACATGAACTACTAGGAAAATGTTTTTTTTTCTTTAATTGGACTTATTTAATTTATTTATTTCTGTTTATATATTATGATGTCTGTTGTTCACACAGATCTTATTTTCATACTGCCCTGGACCAAATACCAGTCGAGGTTCATGCCGTTTGGTGCATTCTAGCAATGAACCGCGAGAAATACAACTCAGAGGGAGGACAGCAGGAGGGCTCTGGATGCGGAGGCGGCTCTGCGCGGGCCCTCTGTGCTTAGCGGGATCACGTGACGCTGGCTCTTCAGCCTTGTCCTTAGGAGGGATCCCCATGGAGTTTTCTCTTCACTCACTGTCTGTACACAGATAAAGGGTCTTCTCTGCCCGAAAGGTCCCCAAACACACCCAACCCTGGTTGTGTGACATCAGGAAGGGGTCAGGCGTAGGCCCACCTGCGGGTGGCACCCTGCCTGGAGTGTTTTTCCTCTGGCAAAGGCCTGACCTGTGTTGTAGAGACTTCCGGGTGTGCGTGTGCAGGGGTCCTGGCGTGGGCCTGAGCGGGGCAGGGAGAGGTCCCCGTCCGCTGCGCTCTCTGCCGAGTCTTAGTTAGTTGTCTTGCCTCTGCAGCCGGATGCTCTGTCTTTGTTCTGGTTGTCGACTCATGGGAGGCAGCCATCACAGGAGGAGGCCTCCCTGTCCCCATGACCCGGCTGCAGGGCTCCCAACAGCTGTATTTGGACCATCACACTGAAGACCCTGCATCTGCTACAGGGAGTGGGGTGGGCTTTGTGTTTGGGTTTAAAGAGGCGGGTGTGAACATCAAGGCTGGAGAGGAGGCCTGCGCGAGCCTGCGTGGCCCTGGGGGAGGCACCTGCTTTTCCCCAGTGCCCGTTTCTTCTCCCGTGGCCGGTCTCCTGTCGGCCTTCCCAAAGCCTTGGACCGACCTTGTTCCCGTGTGTTGTGGCAGAGAATCTCACCGCGGCTGCATCCTGTGTAGAAAGGGCCTGGCGTTGTTTAGCTTCTGGTGAGGGTTTGGTGGCACTCAGCCACTACAGAAGCAGTGCCAGGTTCTCGCTGGAATTGGGAGGTGGTAGAGGTTCCTCCATGTAGATGTCTGTCTTTGTTTCCTGCTGAAAGAACCAGAAATGTTTGAACTTTGCACATATCATCAACTCCAGACCTCCAAAGGCTCCGTAACAAGGGGCAGGCCTGTGAAACCCTCCCGCAGTGGAGTCCACGGCTGTTACCCTGCAGGTCCTGGGCGTGGCGGGGTGACTTAAAGGCAGGCTGTGTCTTGGCTGTTTGCATCAAGTCAGTTCAATAAGAGAGTTCCACCAATTGTTCAAAGTTATCGCCGTCTGTTGCGCACTGAACCACTGGAATTTTCTCTTTCTGGATCATTGTTTTTGCCACCCTGCAGATAAAATCCAGGTAGCTTGTAGAAATTGATCTGGGATGAAGAACACCATGGCCCGTGGTTACCTCAAGGTTTGTCCTAACAGCTGTCTCGAGATGGGCTCAGACTTTCAGTTTTTATCTCATACCCCAGAGGCCTCTCTCTTCTGCTTCCCCGACCCCCGTCCCCACTCCCCCATACCTATCCTTTCCTAGAGCCTGGATAGGTCTTTGAAGAATTGTCATTGGTCTTGGAAGCCCCATCCCAGAATGCCTTTGGGTTTGGAAGAACAGCTATAAGTGGGAAGTTGGGGTCCCTGTCCTTAGTCGGGGATCATTCTGACAATCTACTTCTCTCCCACTGCCCCAGCCCGGGGATGATGGACTCGGGGCATCCTTCATGGGGCTGCGGCACTAACAGCCCTGCTCCCAGAGGACTTGTGCAGAACTTCTGTAACTGTCAGACCTCTTCCTCATAAGGAAGCCACAGCCCAGTGCCATGTCACGCTTACCTGTCCTCTCCCACTCAGAAATGTTGTCAGTGGGGAAAAGCCATCACCATTTCTTGCTCAGAATGAAATCGGGTAACTTTGAGAAGGAACAAGAGAATCGAATTAAAATAGTATTCTCGTTTGGTATAGATTAAACTAGAACATGTTCTCATGAAGCATGAAAATACATTTTCCCCATATGAAGTTTCATGAGGTCAGGAAAAATAGTAGCCACAGCGGACTTGGAACAACGCGGCCGTATCCCTGCACAGCCACATCTAAAAATAGCCTTGACCGAGTGCCGAATCGCATTTCCCATTATTAATTGTTGGATTTTAAAAAACTAAACCCTTTTATGTTTCCTTAAGAAAACTTTTAAAAAGTTTGTAAGCTTTTTAAATTTGGAATTGAGTCACATTAACACAATTTTCCAAACTAGTTTCTGTGGGATTTTTTTTTTCTAACAAAGAGAAACAAATAAAAACAACTGCAAATCTTCCAAAGTGAATATTTAAAATGCAGAATTGCTTTTGTCCTGGGTTCAGACACTTGGATCTATTGTATATATTAGTCTAGACCCTCTCACTAATATACACAGTATTTAAGACTCTAAATGAGATTTCTTAAGTATTTTATTTTATTCTCTGTAAATGGTTTTGTAAAATCTTTAAAAATCGACACTTTGCCTTTGTAGATACATCTTTGGGGGTTGTCTTGCATGTATATTTTTGTTGTAGATAAGTGTTGCTTAGTTCTTTCTGCAAATTTTGGTTGAAATGCTTACAGACTTTAATACAGTATATATTTTCAGAATATAAACTTTTATATTTCTGTGGTAAGTTAGGATATGCGTTTTAGGCAATCTTTTCCATTTTTATCACTTGTTCTTTCAAAAAAAAAATAGCATACTGGTTTGGTGCCAATGGGTTGTTTTGTTTTTCTTTTTCTTTCTTTTTTTGATCTCTTTTTGTTTCCTATAATGCTCTTACACTGTTGAAAGAGCAGGTTAATTTTCTTTTCCTAGAAGTCATTGAGTTTGAAGCATACTTTGAAAATGTATTGAATTTGTGAATAAGCCTTACCATTAGGATCAGTAAACCTTCCAACCTTTGCAACTACGGATGTAGTTTAAGATCTCCCCATAAATTCTCACTGTGTGGCGGTTTGATGGAGTTTGTGAACAGAGCCTTAAGCTTGTTGCAAAAAAATAAATAAATAAAAGGGTAATACGGGTTGTTTCCTCCTCGTCAGCCATGTTGGCGGGCTTGGCGCGTCTGTGGTTCATGGCTGATCTGAAGAGTCTGGTGCGTTGATGGCGGCAGGGACCAGGTCGACTCCTTGGTGGTTGTCTTTGGCCGTGAGATTGGACCAAGGGTGGGTTTTCTGGAGCCACTTGCATGCTATTCACATGGTTTAGACACGGTCGTGGGGAGGGAGGGCTGCTGGTTCATCATCTGTTCCAAACAAACGGCATTGCCTGCTCCGGACCCTGGCGGTGGACCCCAGGTTCCTTGCGGATGAACTGGAATCGTCCCGTCTGGCTGTGGTCAGCAACTCCTCGAGAGATGCTAACAAAAGTTTACATATGAGTCTTACTGTGTAGACAATCTGAAGTTGGTTTTAGTTCCATAATCGGCATTCCCATGTGTTCCCTGTGTCCCCTCAATGAACTCTGTGTGTCGAGCCAAAATAAAGGGAGGTCACAGGCCAAACTGGAGGCAGAGCCCAGGCCCAGGCCCTGGTTCCGGGCAGCAGTCACAGGCTCATCAGCAGCGGATCTGCTGTGTCTGGGATCTAGGAAAACCAGCTAGAATTTGGACTTTGTTTTCAAAATGATAAAATATTCCAGTTTCTTTGGTTGCCCACAGTTCACTGGCTGATGCTCTGTACCAGCACTTTAAATGGGATCCTGAGTTCAGGGCCGTGGTACAGGTAGTCACTTGGTTTGCAAAGTCACCTTTGCAGCCAGCAGAATGGAGAGTTGCTGATCGGCTTCCGATTTTGTCTGTGTGGCAGTCCAAAGCCAGTGTCTTGCATGAAGCTCGCCTCGTTGGCCTAACATCTGGCCTGATGCTGGAGCTCATTGACTCTGGGAAGTTCAGAGATTATTATACAGAGTTTTCCATCTAGTATTTAATTTGTCCCTGTGCCATTAGTCCCAGCTTGAAGTCATTTGCCAATGTCTGTGTTGACAGGATTGTGAAAATATTGCCTTTCATAAAACCAAGGACCAAAGATTCCATTAGTTCAACAAAGCACGAGTTTCATAGATTGTAGGCACATCTAGGCAGAGGTGTGCGGGCGTGATGGCACAGAGAAACCTCTCAGTCCCCCAACCTCACACACACAGAGGGACCAGTTGTCACTGAGAAGGCTCTGAAGGTGGAGTTTCTAGGTTGGTACTCACTAACTCAGGTGGGTGTTTCTGCTGTGTAGTCTAGGCCTTTGTATTCATCTCATAGCAAGTGGGAATCTGGCCTTCCTCTGGGTTATCTGACCTGTGTAGATCCCTCCATTTGCACCTGAGCCTCCCGCTTGGGTTTTACAGGTGGATCTACGCTGGGCAGCGGGCTCCTACCATTGCCAGATTCCCATCCCTTTGTTCTGCATCCACCCATTCCAATTCCTGTTTGGGAGGGGAAGAATTTTCCTCCGTTCTCACACTAAGCAATGCTCCATTCTCATTTGTGATGAAATCATCGACCCATTGACCAGTTGAGAAATGACTGATGCTGAAGAAGTGCTGTTCTATTGGTAAGGCTTATTACCAAACTTCTGATAACGAAGCAGGCTACCAAAAACATATCCAGCCCACCCCGGGAGTGTTTGGGTTTGATCATGGATGTACACACACACACACACACACACACACACACCAAAATCCACGGAGACCTTTGCAAATTAGACTACTCGTTTTCTTTTGCCCGATTGTCATGGGAGAGTCTTCAGCTCGTTCTGAATATGTGTACGTATGAGTACTTCATAGAGTCGTGAAGCCGGTACCGCTGACCCACCCGTTCTCACCACGTTGTAAATATTTCCCCAAGCTGGGTACAGTGCTGAGGGATGATAATCTGATTTATCCAATGCTGACTGTCTAGAGCAAATTGTACACTCTCTTTGTGAATGGTCCTGTAACGTGTATGAACACATTTCTGGGTGCCTTAGAAGTTGTATTTTTCATGTGTGCTAATATGCAGTATTTATACATTGTGAGAAGCTGCTTTGAATAAAAAGGTTGAAACTTCGTCTCCATTTGCTGTGTGTGCCCTTTTGTTTGTACCCTGTGCATAACGTTCACAAACAGGTTCTGGGGTTTCTGGGGCCTCCTGGGGCTGAGATGTGATGTGTGTAGGTTGGGTCTGGGTTCCTGAGAGCCCAGACACCCAGCTCCCCAGCCCAGGTCCAGCCAGAGGCTTCAGGCACTCAGGAAGGCCTTCGCTGGGGGAAGAGCCTGAGGCCCAAGGGACCTGGGACGGAGGGTCACAGCAGCAGTTTTTGAGGGAGCTGAGAGCCTTTTCCTGTCCCTGATACATCCAGGGGGCTCTCTCGTGCAGGAACTTCCTCCCTGGAGACAAACCTCCCCAGATCTCGGTCTTGTACAGTCCCAGCTGTCATGCATGGCCAGCAATGACATTGTCACTATGAACAGTGTCGTCTCCCCTGCATGATTTCATTGCGTTGGTCATCACAAGGCTCCTAGGAGAGGCACATGATGAGGAGCCCTGGCTTCCAGGGCGTAGCTTCAGTGCATTGGGGCGGGGGGGGGGCTCCAGGGAAGAGGAGGGGGGGTCTTTCAAGGGTATGGTCACAGGGAATTCTGGGTAAGGGATTTACTTGAGCCGATCCATCTGTCCTGCAGGCATCTGTGTACCCACCCACCCATCCTCTGTCCTCCCCCTTCCAGCCAGCAGCCATGGCTGAGCCCCCTGCCCTGTCTCAAGAGCTGCCCAGCTGCTGGGAAGCAGGGGTTACCCAGTCCCTGTCTCCAGGAGCGTGGAGCAGTCATGTGAGGAGGACCCGAGATTCTGCCGTGGTTCTCGAAACGTCCAGAGTGGAGGGCTGCAGAGAAGACATTGTCACAGTCACAGGCATCCTCCGAGTCAACAAGATGGTGACATTCCTTGTTCACATCCACAGCGTCACCTTTCAGTCTGCACCAGCCAGCCTGGGTGGCGCCCAGCCCCTGCCCTCAGTGGCCCCCCTCTCCTTTCTGTGTTCTCTTGTCCATGTCATTATCATCGTCATCGTCCTCATTGTTTTGAGTGCCACTGCTCTTCCTTCAAGGTCCTGGCTCCATCCTAGGTAGTCAGGGTCAAGCCGGAAAGCATGGCTTCTCGCTCCTCCGTCCTTCCGGTGGAGTGGACGTGGCCTGTTGGGTGCTCAGGGTGCAGCCTCTGTAGGGCAAAGCCGGCTGTCGCTCCTCTCGGGCTATTTTGATGTGGTCTTGTGCTGAAGCAGCCCCTTCCCAGCAGGGGAGAGGGGGACCAAGGACAGACTCCTCATCCACAGAAATAGCAGCCTTCGGCGGCCACGCGGATCCACGGTGAAGGAGTGTGGTCGCTGAGGTGACTTCGTTTTGCCTCTCCGCGTCCCTTTGGGTCTGATCAGTGGGAGCAGTTCTTTCCCAACCCAGATGAGGTCCTGGTGAGCCCTGGGAGCTTCCTGTTCCTCACAGGTAGAGACTTCCTGACAGTCACGGGCTCCAAGTGGCATCCACGAGTCTTTGTCCCCAACCTCACTCAAGACGAAGACTGCCGGTCCTTGCCAACCCTCCACTGCCTTTTCTGGTTGGGCTGGGAGAGCTGGAAGGACCTCACGTGACGGTGCCCTTGACACGTGGGGCTTGGCATTCTCCTGGCCTCACGGGTGTTTACACCTGACTCTCTCTCACGGGGCATTTTATGGGTTCCTTGGCAACTCCCTCGGTTGATGGTGGACAGTCCCTTCGAATCGCCTGTGAACTCTGTGATACTCAGCCTTTTGGAGTCGACTGGCCCCTGGCTAGCAGTCTCCCTTTTCCAGTTGGGGTCTATTGTCCCCCTTAAGGCGAGACAACCCCCAGCCAGCTGCTTGCCGTGCCTGGACCACAGGTGGCTCGTGGGAGACACGGCAGCCTCTGCCTTGTCAGCTCCACGTCTTGTCCATAGAACTTCTCAGGCATGAGCCGGGCACCATCAGCTGTGTCCTCCTAGGGGGCACATGAAGGTCGCTTCTCCTCCAACTTGAGATTGAAGGGAAGGGCTCTTTGCTTATTTTCCAGGTATGTCATGGGGGGTAGTACCATTCTCTGCCAAAAAGAAAACCCCCCAAAACCAAAAACCCTCTTTACGCACACTTCTAAGCTAACGCTGGACACACAGATGGCAAAACCTAGAAGCCATTCAGGCTCCCTCAGGTGATGGTTCAGTGTGTGGGGAAGTCTCACACGAGACACTGCAGGGCTTTGCGGGTTGAAACGGGCCTGAACTTGTGCTCCAAGTGGGTGGGGGGGCCCTGGAGGCTGCAGGGAAGGGTGGTCTGGGCTGGCTTGTGCTTCCTCAGATTCCCTCCACGACAAGAGTCACAAAGCCCAGGGAGGGCAGAAGCAAGGACACTGGCGAGACTTGGGATTGTCCATCGGGACCTCAACAGAGGCAGTGAGGAGTGAAGGCCAAGTCCACCGTGAAGGCAGACCAGGATTCGCAGGTGAAGCGGTTGTGGAGAGAGGGTGGCCTGGGGCTTGGGCCTGAGCCGCTGGAAAGCTGGTTGCCCCAGCTGAGGCCAAGCTGGGGGCCTGGGGGAGTAGGCTGCGTGGAGTTGCAGGAGCCCAGCTGAGGCCCACTGTCACAGGCACCAGGTGTGTGGCCCTGCTCAGCCGTGAGGTAACAACCGTGCCTGCCTCTGGGGATGATTTAATGATAGAGATTTACACACACAGAAAGTGGATATGTATCTGTGTGTCTGTCCATAAGTACATATGTACAGTTTTAAATGATATCTATATATAAAAATAACTTTGGTGTATAATTAGCTTATATATGATATAGAAACTTGTTGGCATATAGTCATTTTTAATGGTTAATGAAATTTACTTAAGAGATTTATATCTAAATGTGTATATAGTGCATGTAGAACAGTTGTTAATATCTAGTCACTAATGACTGAATGAGATTTTTAATCTATTTGTACATATATTCAAGATCTTACATATATGATTCATATAAGTTAGATTATATGTCATCATTATACATGATTTTATCTTATTGACACAGTCACTATGTAATGATTTAATGTGATTTCCATACATGTATGTATATATGTGAGAGTTCATATGAGATTTATGCAAATATAGGAAAGCTATATATTTAAATGAGATTCTGTGTGCGTGGATCCACGGTTACTCCTCCCGTGGAGCTGCCCGTTCGCAACAGCTGTGGGAGACTTTGCAGAGACAAGTGGCTAGAGAGGAAGGCAAGACAGTAGGCCATTAGGTCTTACTGGAAAGAACGTGGCTGGGAGTGAGACAACCTTGCATTTAAGATCTCCAATGTGGCTCTGATAAGGTGACACATCCTGACGATGTCACTTATCTTTTCTGATCTGTACAACGGGCATAGCCTTACCTACTACGTTGTCACGAGGCTAACTGGAGCTAACTGCAGAAGGTGCCCAGAAGAGGGGCAGCTCATGGCGAGTGCACCCCAAACGCACCTCCTCCTCTTTCCCTTCAATGGACACCTGGCTGAAGAGTGGGGAGGGGAGGGGAGGGAGGGAAGTGGGAGGCAGAGCCTCTGCCACTCTGTCCTCAGGGACTGACATCCAAGCTGAGGTCATTCAAGAGTGTCAGAAGGCCCCACCCACCGGGAAATCCCCCAGCCAAATGGGGTGTAATTTAATAGCCCCCTGGATTAGGCCTTAAAGATGATCTGTGGTGTAGGGTGGGTGGGGTCTGCTGCTTTCTCCACTGTGTGCAGAGACTCACACACACCAGGACAGCACCCAGGGCTGGGCCTTGCAGGTGTCCCCCTGTTGTGGAACAGAGCCCTGGGCTCTGCCAGGACAGGGGCAGGTGTGCTGTCTCAAGGTCACAGAGGACCTGAAGGGTTCCATCTTTGTGGTACACGTGGTGTGCAAGGGCCCCTGAACAAACGGTCTCATGGACACTTTCACTTCCATACAGAGCCACGAGCGGCCCTCATGGGCCATTTGGGGGGTAACAAGCAGTTACCTACAGGAGATTCAGACCTTGTGGGCCAATTCCCAGGGGGATAGATCCGTGGCTGACAGTTGTTCTGTTTTATCTTTTTTAGAATCTTGTGGCTGTGTCTTTACAATTGTATGTCCTCTTGGCCACATTTCCTGCTCCGTTGTGGAGACTTTCTCTCCCTCTTCTCTTCCCAGTGTGTAGTGTCCTTCAGCAAGCTGTCATCATGCTGGACCAGGAGCAGCAGGACATTTGGAATCAAACTCACCTGGGTTCAGATTCTTCCTCCACCACCATGTGGCATACTGTGGATGGTATAGCTCCTCTTGGCTGCAGGTTCTTTGTCTAGGGTTATGGTTGGTTTGTTGTCATTGTTGAAGGATTAATAACTAACATATGCAAATAAGTTATTAAATAATGTACGATTGCCAGGTGCCAGGGCACACATCTGTAATCATGGTGACTTCGGAGGCTGAGGCAGGAGGATTACAGGTTTGAGGCCAGCCTCAGCAACTTAGTGAAGCCTTAAGCAACTTAGTGAGACCCTCTCTCAAACTAAAAAATTGAAAGGGCTGGAGATGTAGCTCAGCGGTAAAGCACCTCTGGATTCAATCCCTAGTAAAAAATATAATGGTATGCACTTATTCAGGTTAGTTCCTTATTGACAAAGTATATTTATGCCAAAGTATCTTTTGTAATGCCTCCATTTAATAGAAGAACACGGGGGCTCAGAGAGGTCAAGTGATTTGCTCAGGGACACAAAGTGGTCAGCAATGGAATAATTGCAAAGCGAATGTCTTCCCCTGGATCTCACCCTTTACCCAAATCCCCCAAATGTTAACATTTTCTATAGGCATGACACATGGGTGGAGACTCGAACCACTCTTCTTGTACCCACTCATGGTCACTATAGGAAAGGCAATCCAGGTGCAGACCCTGGGGTTAGTGGTGCGGAAGGTCCCAGGGGACTCCAAGTCCTGCAGGGCTGGGGCTCTCAGGGACCACTAGTGATTTCTCTTTAGAGGAAGAAAAGACCCTCACATCTGGCAGGAGGGCGGATGGACCAGAT